TTTTTTCGATTTTATTGTCGTCAGTTCTGCATAATTAATGTCAACCAAAAAATCTCGTAAAGTTGCAGCTCGCACGATCATAAATATACCTATCTGAGCACATGCATGATCGCGATGTTTTTAAATGCGGCAAATAATCGGCCCGATAATACGTTATGTGTATACGCATATTGGACGAAATGAAAAGTCAAATAAGAACTGATGCAAGATCATGATCTTGGTTCTGAATTATGACACTATCTCCTCGCAACAATGTGGCAAGATTTAAAGCTTATTACACCTATTCAGCTTTTCGAGAAATCTTGCGTAGAGACGCTGATATTTATTTTGTACTTCACCAAATAAAGAAATTACGTAATACATACATAAGGAAATTATATCCTCATGTGCAATGTAACATTTTAACATCTAACTTAAATATTAAACGATATTTTATTGTCAGACACATATTTTCTTAGCGCAGCGATTTCTTCTTTTAAGTAAGAGATAATCAACAGAGCATTGAAAGTGTTAAGCGAAATATTGCGTCTAATTAACAAAATCACTCGACGTATTTGATATTTCGTAATGTGGATCTGAGAAATGATCAGCGGCAATGCAATGTGGTCTTATGTGGCACACAATGGAAAGTAACGAATGGTCGGCGCGATCTTTGCTACAAGGAGGTTGCGAAACGGTACCGGTTACTCGAATAGAGCAACTTAGATCATGCTGGAAGGCCGTGACGTTGTTACGAATGATTTCAATGATCCCTTGATCAACATTTTTTTCACTAATATACTTTTGAACAGAACAAGACAAAATACTTGAGATAAAAAATTTACACGAAAATATGTTTCCAATTATCACGAATATTAATAATAAGTAACAGACTATTATTGTGGACATTGCTACTCAAAAAAATACAGAATATGATTATATATTATTTTTTATCCGTTATTCCGTCACTTCGTAGTAACAGAATCCATGGGAACGGCGAGTGGATAAAATCTACGCGATCACGCGAGTACGATGGCCGTCGTGCGAGTTTCGATGCTAGTTTCATACTAGATCGTTGGGCGAATGTTTAGCCATCATCGTTTTCTAGAAATGGTTTTTGACCAAAAGTTCATCCCACCGAAGGAGCGCGAAATCCCACGTAATGCGCATACACGTGCGTATATGCACGTAAATCGATCCGTGTGTGTCTCGGAACGAGAAATATCGGCGGGAGCTCGTTTCCCTGCCGAGAATCGTAAAGCCGTTTCCTCCGCCGGACTCTCCGGAATAACATCTATCGGCCGACAATGCATCATGGGCTTTACGAAGGCTTTTGCATCCGAATGGCTCGTAGGTTTCAAGAGACCCAAGGAAAACGTCGAGCAGCTCGGACATACATACATATATACGGTTTTTTATATGTATATGTATATGTAAATGCATATTTTACATGTGTACACGTTAACATTTTTTTTATGTCGATTGTTTCATTTTATAAATAATCTATTCAAGAAAAATTACTAATATACGTTAAATATTAATGAATATAAATATATTAACCTGGGAACAAGCACTTGATTCTTTTTTTCGTGCAAACGATCGCCAGGGATTTACACTCAATTAAAATCATCATTATTAACAACATATTGTATTAGATATAAGTATTTTCAGATTTATTTGAGATCATTGTAGATATAAATTTAATTACATAATTTTCCGAAAAAGGTGAGTAGAAACGAAATAAATATTAAACGAAGTAATAGCTTATTATGATATTTCTAAAAAAGATTTTAATTAATATAACGGTTTTTTACTGCGGGCTTTCAATGGAATTGCATGTTTAAAAATTCGTAACAAATAGTTATTAAAAAAATATATGTTAACCCTTTCGTACCTCCATATATGTCCCAAACATGAAAAAATGTATAACTTTCAATCAAAAGTAATCTTATCGATTACTTGATAAGTAATCGATATAGGATTAAATATCCTATCGATTAATAAATGCTGATAT